TTCGCTTAGGGTGCCTCCGGACGTCTGGGGGATTCTAAGAAAGAAACGGCAGTGTGGGTACAACCAGTAAGCACTAGGCTCACCTAAAGGCTCCTGGGTTTCTCTGCAGAGAGGCGGCCATCTGTTTCCAGTAGGACATACTACCTAGAAAAACCCCAAGGGCTGACCCACTGCTCTGCCACACGGGGTCCCTGTGGATGGAAATCACCCAGCAGGATAGAAGTCACTTACTGCCTTCACATTACATAGTCCACCCTCTACTTCCATCATTGTCAGCTCTGAGAGACAAGAGACTTGCTTTCCTTCGTGTTGTATCCCAGTGCTGATCACAGGGTGGCCATTTCAGAATCATTCACTCTAAAACACACTTATTGGATACTTAAACTTGGCATGGTAGTTACATAGTCTGTTGTCAATTTGAGACTATTAAGAGTGATGGGGTGGCGTTTAGCCTGTCAACCAGGTCGCAGCTTGATGACCTCATTTGGAGGCACTAAGGAGATAAATAGCTCTCTTGAGGTGGGACACAGGTTCACTTCCTGGGAGACATTCCTGTTGACAAGACACAGGGACCCATGGCTAGAGCCCTGGAGATGGAGAAGCCACGTGGAGACCCCTGCCAGTGCTAAGATGCTTCCACCACCACTGGATCTACAAGACTTCCCACCCACTAGCCTATGATCTTCCTGCACTTGGAGTCATTGCATGTGTTTTGTGAGTCTGAAGAAGACTTTATAGATTGGTATCAGATATGGACTAATATCAGACTTATGGACTTGATCTGGACAGGGCGGGGATGTTTTCTCAACATTCAATTGCTCTTTTATATAAAGCTCTTTCTTATACAAATATGAGTGGCTATGAATGTGTGTCTCTAATCAGCCTGGATTAACACACCTGATATACGCTCTTTGTATGCAGTGGCTCACTTGTTTCTCTTGGCCAGCCTAGGATATAACCATGAGCCAGTGCTGTGGAGTCAGTGCCTATCAAACACAGTGACCCTGTTAGACATAACTGCCTCGTAGTCTTCCTTAAAAGAAACAGACTGTCTCAGCTTTCTCATACTGAGCGACTGGTGGGTTTGAACCACTGACCTTTCTGTGGCAGCTGAGCAATTGACCACTGCTTTGCCAGAGCTCCTTACAAGGAAAAGTACTACTATCAAAATAGACCAGTTACTCCAAAGTGGACTGTGCCCATGTATATCAGATCTGAACTAGGGTTTCAGCCATAATTTAAAAACAAAACAACTTAAACTCACGTCCATTGAGTTGATTTCAACTCATAACAACCCTAAAGGACAGGGTAGACCTGCCCCTGTGGGATTCTGAGACTAACTCTTTATGGGAGTAGAAAGCCTCATCCATCTCCCTGGGAGAGGCTGGTGGTTTCATACTGCTCACCTTGTGGGTAACAGTCCAGCGAATACAAAGAGTGCTTTCAGAATAGGAAAATCAGGCACACAGGAAGTACTGGGGTCATACAAGTAACCGCTGCACCAGACCGCCTCTTGTGAATGAATGAAGTGTACTAATGTGGTGAGATATCTCGCAAAGAACAGAGGCATTGGGGCTGGGAACTGCATGCTGGGGAAGCCCTGTTGGCTATTGATAAGGAACAGCACAC